TAATATAAATACTATTAAATAAATAAATATGAATCAGATCATATAAAATGGAATCATAATAAATTAAATCGAAGTAAATAAATAATAGCATCAAATCAAATCACATAAAAGATATTAATGCAATGCAATTAATATTAACTTATATAAACTCAAATATAGTCAAATACAATTAAATCGAAGCAATCAAATCATATTAAATCAAATATAATTAAATTAAACAGAATCAATTAAACAAATTAAAAGAAATATAATTGGATCAAGATTAATCAAAACAAATCAAATTAGATCAGGGCAAATCAAATAAATTCAAAAAAGATTAAAATCAATTAACATCAAATAATCGAATATTAAACAATTAGGTCAAATCATATCCAAGCGAATTAAATGAAAAAAAATTAAATTAAAAAATTATAAATAGATTTTTGAAAAGCAATTTGAATCAAATTAAATCGAATCAATTAAATTCAAATAAAATTACTTCAAATAATCACAAATAAATTTATAAAAATTAAATGAAATTAAAATTAATCATATCAAATATAATATAATCAAAACGAAGCAAAGAAAATAAATTAAAACAAAGTAAAATAAAATTACATATAATCAATTTCAATCCAAATCAAATCCAAGTAGAATAAATCAAATAAAATAAATTTAATTAATATAAATGAAATTAAAGGAAATCAAGGCAAAGCAAAAATTAATCATATCAAATAAAATAGTATTTGTTGCAATCAAATCAAATCAATTAAAATAAATGAAAATCTAAAAATCTGACAAAATAAAATAAAGTAATAAAAAGGCATATAAATAAAGCAATCTAAATCAAATTCCAGCAAATTCAATTAAATAAAATTTATTTAAGAAATCTCAAATACATTTCTAAAATGAAATTCGAATCAATTTAATCAAACCAGATAAATTACATAAAATTAATTCAAATAATGACAAATAAATTAAAAGATATCAAAGCAAATTAACATGAGTCATATTATTTAAAATATAAACTGAAATGAGCTAAGCAAATCAATAAAAATAATCTTATTTATTAAAATAAAGTTAAATAAAATTATATATAATTAAATCAAACCTAATTAAAACTAATAAAAATAAATCAAATAAAATTAATTCAATTAATATCAATAAAATTGAAGGAACTTAAATTGTTCCAGATTAAATGATTTCGAAAATCAAATCAAATTTAAACATTCAAATCTAATTATCTCATCCAATTAAATCAAATTTAATACATTTAATTAAAATTATATCAAAAGGGGATTAAATTAAATATAATTAATTTAAGTAATATCAAATGAATTGAAAAAAAGCAAAGCGCATTTAGTTTTATCATATCAGATCAAATTAAAGCAAATTAATACAACTAATATCAAATCAATTGAAAAAAATCACGGCAAAGCAAATTAATCATATCAAATAAAATAAAATGAGTTGTAATCAAATTAAATAATTTCGAATCAATTCAAACCAAATCAAATAATCTGATAAAATAAAATAAAGTAAAACAAAATGACATATAA